CTCCCTTTCCTTGCTCTACTCTCTCTCTTCCTTTTTTATGAACACCTTGACATTTCTCTCTTCCTAGATCTGTCCCTTTGTGCATCTGGGCAGAGTGTATGTTCTTTTTCATAAAGAAGCATTCTTTATTTGGACTGACAGAACAGGTCAAAAGTTTCTCCTTCTGATTTGGGCCTGCAGTTATAGGACGCTCTTCTTCCCGGTAGGGAGATGATGGCCGTGAATGTGCTTTCCTTGGACTTGCCATTCTTGGAGAGTTATGCCTAGATTTAGCATCTTTTTTGGGGACTAGGTTTAAGTCCAAAGATAGTGGTCTTCCAAATACTGGACTAAGAGGAATCACAACGTTGTCTCCTGGAGCACCAAGAGTAAGAAAGACTTCTGGTACTTGATAGTCATTCTTTATTCCCTGAAACAGACAAGAAGACAAAGAAGTGCCTCAGGATTTTTTTTTTATTTGTGCAAAGTCAAAACATTCATAGTTTGTGGTGGCACTTACTGGCTGTGGTGTTACACTCAGTGATACTTTCAATGTCATCTATTGGAGAAAGCAAAAACATCAACACAAAAATAATAGCTGAAATTAATTCTGCCATAAATTCATTTGCTGCATCCTGATTTTGACCAGTTCATATGACTCTGATAAATGTCTATCACTCTATATTTCTAGAAAAATTAAAATTCAGTTGTATCTCCAGTTTTGTTTCTACCTGTGCCTGAGAGTTTTGATCCATCCTGAATTCAGTCTCAGGAGTAAATGAAGCAGACTTGGGTAAGGCCAAAGTAGAGCTTGATTCTGCATCAAAAATTTGGGGCTGAGAGGAACTCCTGCGAAAGGACTTCCTTGATGTAGCAGGTGTTCCTTCATTCACAATAATATATGGTGGTGATGCCTAGGGAAGGAATAAATTCCACAAAATTCTAGTCATATACTGTACCATTAAAACATTAGTTTATAGACACTGCTAAATACTAACAAATACAAATACAGCTTTTAAAATAATGGGTCAATATGCTTCTTGACATAAAACAATTGATGAAATACATTATTTTTATATACAAAGAAAACTGTATAAACTCGTAATGTATAGCTATAAAGCTGAGCTGTTAAATTTTGTGAAACAAAAACAAAGAAATCATAAATTTCATTTAGCAACCTTTGCCATTTTTTAGTTTACCTATCCAATAATTTATACCCAACTTGCATCATACTGGGAAACCAGTATTTGGATTTCTTACATTTTTCTTTGCTTCAGATATTCGACTTGTCCCTGGAGAATGTTGATCTTGTAACAATGCCTGACTGGGGTTCTTACTGTTGACGAATGCAATAGGTTTTGACCCTATTGAGAACATTTAAGTTATTTCTGACATCTCAAAGATATAATTAGATTTGAAATATTTTGTCCTGTGTGTTTTTCTTACCCATGAGCCCATTATTCAAAGGGCCGCCATTGTGCACTGGAGTGGTAGCTGTACTGCGGCAAGGTTGTAAATAGCATCGTTGGTCTTCCATTCGCGCACTTTGAGAATGTCTTATCATATCAAAAAATTGCTCCTGCTCAGCTGCAGATAAATCCTATATTAGGAAAAGACAAGAAAAAGCATAGGCCTCTTATCTGACCCCTGACCTGTTGATGTCAACAGATCAGAGACCTGTTCTGTTTTGTCATTGCTTCAGAACAAAATACGGATCTATTGCTAAAACTATAAGCAATATATTTTGCAAAAAGGTCTCTCACCTGCCAGTGTTGAGGAGCATTAAAGATAGCTGAACTCTCAGGAGGTTTATCAGATGCATCATTTATTAGGTTTTTGCACTCAGTTGAAGGGGTGTTCAAATTTTTTAGGATTTGGGGTGCTGAGCATCTTTGTTCATCCATCCTTGAGCCCTATAATAGGAAAATATATTTAAAAATAAATGTTAAATCTAGACTATAATGCATATTATTTGCCAGTAAAAAGGCAAATATATGTGAAACACATAACTTCAATTGATCAAACATGTGTCGCCAACCTGGACTCTTGAAACTAAATAGCATAAATATCTTGCATCCATTTCAGCAGGAGTTACTGTTGATGTGGTGCCTCCGTTCTGTATTCCTGGTAATGATGGAAGAAACATACGCTGGTCATCGAGTCGTCTTGCCTGGGAGTTTGCGACCAAACTGAAGAGTTTTTCATCATCTAGTAAAGAAAAAATGAAACCCAGATTTTAACATTAAACATGTACTCGATTACATCAACATATCTGATCAAAAAGGGTTATTAAGTCAAAGAAGAATTCTGGCTCTGACCTTGTGGCATTGTGCTTAGAGTGAGTTTGGAACTGGGCAATCCTTGAGGATTAACATTTAACGCACTTCGCTGTTTCTCTTTAGCCTTTGGATTTACATGCGAGTTTGTGCTGAAGGAGGCTGAGCGCTCTGGACCCAAAGCAGGTGATAATTTTGTATTATTTTCATAAATAAGGGCCTGTGGGCTTTGATGCTGAGGCAGGCAACACCTTTGGTCATCCATCCTAGAACCCTGAAGTTACAGCAGGAATTATTTTTTAAAAAATTTGACAGAATTTTAGGTTTCATAGCCACAATAAAAACATAGATTTTCCTTTAAAAAAATAAAATAAAATAAACAAACACCATTAAACCTGTTGGGTAATACTCTGTCCAAACAATGAGAACATGTGGTGGTGATTTTTTAATAACAATGGTGAAAATATTTTTTTCACAGAAAGCAAAAAGTAACTAACCTGGACTTTTGAGACCATCTGAAACAAGCAGCTTGAGTCTCCTTTATTGTCACCATTTTCATTCTGTGATACTGGTAATGATGAAAGTGATACTCGCTGGTCATCCAGCCTTCCACTTTGAGCTTGTGTCAAAAGGTTTAAAAAAAAATCCCGATCTGATGATAAAATTAAACAGAAACAGTTTTTCTAAACACCGTCATATATGTGTATCTATATATCTGTATTAAAATTAATATTGAAAGGCTTTGCTCTTTTTCAGTATTGTTTCATGTATTTGAGAAAGGATTGAAAGTTTGGGTAGACGGGGAGTACCTGCGCTAGGACTCAAAACGCAGCGCTGGTCTTCTATACGTCCGCGCTGGCCATGAGCGATCATACCGAGAAACTTTTGCTGTTCTTCAGGTGATTCTTCCTTTTTTATTTATGTGAAAAGATTGGGGGGAAAATGTCAATATGAACATTCAATTATGCAACATTAAAGAAGAATAGTGGAAATTTAATATATTTACACTAATCATTTATTAGAACAGACCCTTAAAGAATTGGAGCGTTGACACTGAGAAGGAACTTGTAACTGATTTCCAGAAGCCACTAGACGCTTTCTGTCGACATCTGCACTACTCTGTGTCACAGAGCTCAAAGGGTTTGCACCAAGGTCATTTTTACTGTCTGATGCCTAGAAAAGCAAGAAACAATTTTTGAAAAGAGTAAGTCAGTAGTAGTCAGTAATTCAACTCAAAACCAAAGCAGGTCCACGTATTCAACTCTTTATATGTTCTAGTCTATGTCCTGGTAGTTAAACGAATGATGAGAGCTGTAAATAAAATGTTCTTTGTTTACTGTCTAATGCATGAAAGAGTATAAAAATGGTTAATTCTATGGGAAAAGCCAGGAGAAAAGATATTAGTCAATTCAAAAACTAACAAGGATTTAAAAGTTATTCTCCCAGTTATTAGTCAGTCCAGCTCCAAAGAGAAAGTCGAAGACAAACATTAAGTGGCAACATAATCAAAATAAAAAAGGTTTGAACTAAAAACTTAAGCAAGAATTTTGTAGAAAGAGTCTAATAAAAAACCATCGCTAACACACAAGTAAATTATACTTGTATTGCCACAGATGTCTTACCTCAGTATCAGCAGCTTCCGATTTTAACTTGACTCCAGCAGATGTCATCTTGTAAAAATTAAAAGGAGGTAAAAATGTGATTGCAATAAACTATATGTATAACAAACTGCTATTCAAAAAAAGATTCCAACCGATGCTCCTCTAAATGCTTGCTGAACATGACACAGTAAAGTGGTTCTGAGTCCTGAGTATTAACCAGTCATTAAGAGACAAGCTAGCCCTCCCTTCTTAATATCACCATTTATAATCCTGGATAAAAACATAATCCTGACCATAGAGAAGGATGATCTCTTTTCATGAGCGATGTACACGTTCTTCATTTTGACCCACCACTTTACTTAAACTTGATGTTTGCTCCAGTGGAAGCAATTAAAATCAGTATTATGATACTGGCCTGTCAGACCAATAAAACTGACATGTGAAGTGTACAAAATACCTTTTGTCCTTCTGTCCATTTTTGCAGGTTTTATTTCCCAAATTCCAAGCAGATGTCAATAGACTATGTTATGAAAACAGAAAGTATTGAACAAGCTATTAAATATAGAAATTATATTACTTTTACTCACATGGTCAAAAACTGAAAATATTACTCAAAGGATTTTGGCTAACTTCAGATCATCGTAAATGTCCAGGAACTAAAGGAAAAACAAACATCTGAAGGTTTTATTTTTATTGAATAGAGACAGAAAACACCCAGCAATATATTAAATTAGTCATGCAATACTTCAAAAATATTTCATTACAGCAGTTGAGATTCTAAGATACAATTACCTACATATGAAAAAAAAAACCTAGCAGCCTTCAATCTTTTACTTTAACTGTCATCTCAGTAAGTCACAATTTCACTAATTGCATCATGTGATATACAAGTAACCATCTTGGCAAATCAAACAGGATTTTTGGTTGGTAATAGGTTAATCAAAATACATGCATCTATATAAATATTTATTACATATCTAGTCGCTAGAACATAAGCATCTAATCCTGGTAAAACTACATCCACAATAAAATAAGAGTGAATTATAGAATAGGCCATTTCCTTCCACAGTTACATCTATAGGTTCTCTTCATATTCAAATTAAGTTAATACATTAAAAAAAAACAGCATACCAGAAACCAGTCAAATGAAAAACTTTTCCTTTATTCCTTGTGCTTTTACCTACTTAGGGACTAAGATATAAATTGGAAATTTATTCCAGACCCTTCAAGTCATTAAGGAAGGTGGTTGGAGTCAAGATGTGAGATGATCCTGTCAAGACACAAAATGTAAACATTGATAATTAGAAAAAACTGGGAACTTTATTGCAGAAAGAGCTTTGAGAATTACAACTAAAAACTTCTCTCACCAATAAGCACTTCCCATTTTCCATCAGTGCTTCGAGTGACTTCATAAGCAGAACGCATCTCTGAGTGTGACACCCCTCCAACCACAAAAACAATCAAGCGAGGACCACAGCGATATTCTGTTGGAGACTTATTTTTGTGCCAGTTTCCAAAACGTGCACTGCTGTAAGAAAGAGGGAGAGAGAAAAATCTACTCATCTGGCAACAAGTAACCATTTCCAAAATATAAGTAGTAGTCATATTTTGGTAACACTTTGACAGGATGTGCATAAGCATTGTTTTGTAAGTACTGACACTTTAATGCAAAGTTGGCACTTTTAAATGAACTTTAAATGCAACTTTTAGAGCAACTTTGCATTAAAAGTGTCATTATTTACCAAATGACACTTTCATAACGGCCACAGACATTCATAAAGACTCCTTCATGTTTATGACAGTGTCGTGTCAGTCTTNTGCANACCCTGTTAAATAAAATGCTACCCATATTTTTCATTGTTTTTTCTGTTGGGCTTAAACACGTTGCATAATGATTATGTCTGCATTATGATAATCTTTTTCATAATGGTTCTCCAGTCAAACATTCAACCCATCTTGTCTGGTTTGCACAGCCACTATAATATGGAGTTACTTATATTTAATGCTGCACTTTGCTTAAAAGGAAGCAGGAAAACATTGTGCATTAGACAGATTATAACAAAATACAGACGATCGTTTGCAGAGGAAGCCTCATTATGATGGGAATTCCCTGGGGGATTGCAGTGCATTCAAAGTAAAGCCGACCCATTTTTGGCTTTTTAACTTCAACTTAATCTGTCAAAAGCTTGGCTCCAATCTAGTTACAGGGATAAAAGCTTTTATTGGACATTACCTGATATATGCTTTAATTTAAAACATGTCAGTCATTTTTTGGTATGCCCAGGCAAATTCTGTCATGTATACTTTAAAATGTTTGTGTATGGATCTACCTGACCGCAGTCTGAGTCGTGTTGATTGGTGCTGGATTAGAGATGAAGGGCCACTGTTTCTTATCCAGTTTGTCTTCTATAGCATTCTGCAAAAACAGAAGCACAGAGTGTGTCAAGCGCAGAAATCAATTTAGGTTGACAAAATCTAAAATTGCACTTCATCATTAATACCTCCATGATGTCCTTGATGGTGGGTGCCCATCTAGAGAGTTGGTAGGTACTCTCTTTTCGTTGCTTGCGCTCTGGCAGCGTGTTGCCAGTGTTGCGGCCCTGGCAGAAAATAACCCATGTTTACAAATAAAGAGGGAGTACAATATTATTAACAGTAGTTGGAAAACTTGAACATAACAGCTCAATTACATTAGGAAATTTACCCCAGTTATAATGTTACAGCCAATGTTTTGTATGTTGTAGATAATTTTGCTGTCTTCCTGCGTTATGTTGGCATGCTGGATGAGCTTGGTAAGGTTCTCCTGCCCAATGCCTAAAGATATTGACTCAGGTGAGAATATGGTTAAAACTTTTTCCAACATTTTATGTGCTATATTTTTTCCCCAAGGTAAAAATATATAGCAGACAAAAGTTAGCACATGAAGAGTTAAATAATGCTCATTCAAAACATAATATGACATACCTTTTTTCTTGTGGAAAATGTACAGCAGAATGATGCGGATTTTGTCATAAGCCCCAATATCATTGTCGAGCAGCACAGGAACAATGCTCTTCATGGCATCTTTTAGAGCTTCCCCCTCTGCGTTTTCTCCCATTACCAGGTCCTGGGGAAGACAAGTCTTAGTTAGCTACTGACCGCAACTGAAAAAAAATGAATCATCAACTCAGGTCAGCTGACAGTGAACAGACAAAGCAGCTGCTGACATAAGAGCCTGCTCCTCTACTTTATTCCATCTTTTTAACAATGCAAGGACTGTCACAATCCCAGCAGTAGATCATTTCATTCATACACAGTTCATAATGCCTACAGTGCAAACATTAAATGTTGATTTTGACATCAATTACAACAAAGTACCCGCAGAAAAAAAAATATTTTTGCAATTTTTTTTGTTGAAAGAAGGCATGAATGTTTAAAAAAGTCAAAGTGAGTTTTTTTTTTTTTTCCCCTCAATACGTTTCTTGTGATCCTGTTGACTGTTTGCAACAAGACGTTTGATGGTCCTGTGATCAAGCCTCAAATATCTTAGCAATTCTAAGAGTACTGTATCCCTCAGAAACCTTTGGTCATTTTAGCCAAATCTCTTTTTTGTCCCATTCTGCCTAAAGAAATGAAGCTGCCTAATACTTAAGCACATCTTGATGTAGATACAAATCTTCTGTCATGCTTAACTCCAATAAGCATTCAAGTCCATCTAGCTTGAAGTTAGAACAAATGCCTACACCCTTGCATTATAATGTGCACATAATGTATCAAATAATGATCAGCGACATTGTATTAGACATTTACTTATGGTCGTCTAACACTTTAAACAAATGACAGCTGAAATGACTATTGGTGTTTGGACCACACAGGCCATCTTAGAGCCAAAACATGCCCACAGGATTAAAGAGGCAGCTTTCAGAGATGCTGACAATCCATTAGTGCAGATGAGTGATTTGCTTGTACAAAAAGCACCCATTAACACTTGTATCCCATAATACCACAAGCATGCCTTGATCTTAATTTCCTGTGTGCTTGAGATTCATCTGGCATAGAACCAAATGTTGCGGGGCACATCCCCTCTGGAGGAATGTCTGGCACAAAACAAAACACAATGTGGCTCAACACTTGTGTGGACTGTGGCTTCCCTGAGTGCTCCAACTGGCTGATGAATGAATATAGCACAATGTAATACATGTGTACTAAATTCCTATCAGCTCAGTTATTATGCAACAGCTTATTCCATTTCTGTAGACATATGGATGTATATTGCTGCTCCCACACTTCTTATGCAATACTCAGATCATAATTTACTATTAAACATCACCGGCCAGTACCAATTGCATTTGAGCACATCCAGAAAACCTAAAGTGAAAAGAAAATAGGAAAAGGTGACAAGCTGAAGTCAAATATTGCACAGAATAGTGTAATTCTCTCTGTTCCTGTTAGTGCAACTATGAAGCTGCAGCCAGTCTCTGTAGCCAAAAGATTCAGCCTGAGATTAACTTTTAGAACTAATTCCAATAACATTTGTGTTTACATTGAAAATAAAAACAGCAGCAAAAATAGCTGCAATAATGCTGAAGACACTTAAATATGCTCTGTCTACTGAACACTCCACACTGACCTGCTCCACTTCACAGAGTTTATCAAGAGACGACTTGAATTTGGTCATGCAGGCTTCTGCTAGGTGCAAATGAGTCGAGTACTGTGAAAGAAATGGGGTACAAAATAACTTGCTTAAAGAAATGTAGAATATATTTTATGACCCAAGCAACATTTAATTTTACCATGACAGAAAAGCATCCTGAAATAGCTCAACAAAGCAGTGTTTAAGAAATACCAACACTTGATCAACTGCCATGATATTCGCAACTGATCAACATAAAAATATAAGAAAGCAAAGAATCGGTTTGTTAAATGAGCTTGTCATGCCTGAAGATGAAGGAAAAAAAGCACAAACTATGATCAGCATTCTTCATTTTGATGATTTAAAAGCTAAAAATTCTCATAACTTTATAAGGATACTAAAAAAAACTTAAAACTTCTCACCATGCTGAGCTCCTTCTGATACTGTGGCATCTTCTTTAACATCTGAGAAAGGTCTTTAATATTGGCCTGAAATACAGAAAAAGTGGCAAATATTAAAAAACTTCTGATTATATAATTACCGATTTCTTATGTACAACTTTCTCCAATATAAATTTGTAATAAACAAGCAAGCAACATGCACTTACATTGTCAGTAGACATTCTCTTGCTTTCGCAAAAGGTGCGAAGTAGTTCTGTCACTTTCCTGCAATAATGGGTTAAGACGTAGTCAAAATTTTCATGTGTAATCATGCTTTAATATTTTTCCATTAACAGAAATATCCTAAAGCCTTAAACACCAAACTGTAATTTAATGTTTAGCTAAATTTTTACCGTCTTTAGCTGCTGCAATTACTATTATGTAAAGTAGCAGTATGCAGTGCAGATTAATAATTTACTCAATTTCTATTTTATCTAATATCCCAATACTAAAATTTCAAAATAGCAAAACCAGGTGACCAGAACACATGGAAATGTCACACAATGGGATTAACGTATCAAAATAAGAAACCCACTTTGTTACATCTGCGATGTGCATGTGCCTGAGCTGAACCCAGAGCTCATCATCTTCATCCAGTAGCACTTCTCTCGCTTTTGAATTCCCAATGCCGGTTGACTGGTAACTGAACAGTAAAGCATTATGTCAAAATAATTTACGCACAATTTTTCTTGGGTAACTTGCAAGTGACTGACGCATATTAGGGGAAAAATGTAAAATGCTGACATACGTATAGATGTCTTGTTTGATATCTAGCAAGTCATAAGCCATTGCTTGGAAGGTCAGCTCATGCAGAACAGGCGAGATGGGATCAAACCCACGATCAACAATCAGCAGTTGGGATCGTCCCTTATCTGGACCCTTTTATTTAAAAGACAACAAAAAATAAACAAGTCATGCTTTCAATTTTTTTTTGCAGTTCAACACGAGTCAATATTTAAGCAAACATGCAAGTTCTGACATCAACGAAAGCAAACCAGATGGTTAGATGACATGCTTATCAAATTAACTTTATATATAGAGGCAAAAAGAGAAAAGAGAGCAGTAATACATGCCTGTTAAGACCCATCCTGAAAGAAAGGAAATTTGAGCTAAGAAAGACAGAGAATAGAAGAGTAAAAGGGAAAAGGTTCAGAGAAGCTTGTATAAAAACCCCCAAACAAACAGAAAACAAAAAACAGAAACCAAAGTAAAGTCAAGTGCTGAAGATGGAAAACTGCTGAATATATTTCCTAACCTCCCCCATTTTTGGGTTGTCTGCTTTGTGAGCATTAAGGCGCTGGTAGATCTCTTCAGCCAGTTTAGCGTTTTCTTCCGGTCCCCTGAAGAAGCAAATTATCACACACCTTCAATCAGCAAGCAAATTAAGCGGCAAACTAATTTTTTAATTTTGTGCGGCATGTTTTTCATACTTGCGGTATCGGATTGCAGGATACTCGTTAAGTGTGTCACACAGTGTTGCAATCTGTTCTGCAACATTTTCCATCATTTTGTTTCTGTCACTGCTTTTCTCGTTGTTGTAGAATAAGGACAAAGAAGTTGGATCATCCAAGGAGAATACCTGCAGGGATTAAAACAGATTTATCTTTATGTAAATTTGTTTTCATTAGATTGTCAAGTAAACCATTTACATAAAAAAAAATTATTTGCAGAACTAATCTGCATTATATTGCCGGTCAATTAATAAGCATGGCTATTTATCATCCATGCTTGAAAATACAATCATCTTTAAAAGTTTTTTTTAATAATTAGCTTTAAAAACATAAAAAGAAACAGGAAATATGCTTCCTGTCTAACACCAAACACAAAGACTAAGAGGAACAGGACAGCATTTAAGAAAGAAACTTAACCATGCTGTAAATCAACAGAAATTAGATACATCAGTAACAAAATAAAATTTAAAAAAATGATACGATAATTAATTTTTTTTTTTAAGTGCTGACCTGAGACTCATAGGGCAGGAATGCAACATTGATCTCTTTTAAAGTCTTGGCAAACTTGGCAACTCTGGATTTCCCAATATCAGCAAAGAGATTGTCAGGACAGGCTATGAGAAACAGGAAGTGTTAACAAAAGAGGTTCTTTAAAACTCCACATTTATTGTTACATCAGGTATTACTGTAATACATCTCAGAATAATACGTGTCCAGTATTTAGAAATGCTTGCATCTTACTGTCAGTGAAGAAGATGTGTGCTGCCTTGTAAGTAAATGCTGCATCTTTAAAATCATTGATTAGGGCACGAACTGACTGCAGTTGGGGAAAAAGAATTGAATATTTTAAAGATTTTTGAGCAAGACTTAAGTAATTTTATGAACTGTACCAAATAGATCCTAAGATAAACTTCAATAAAAAAAGTAACCTTCTCCACTGGTGTAATCAAATAGATGGCCTCCAAACTTGCTATTGGCTCCCTGCGTTTGTTGATGTCTTCCACAACTGAAAAGCAGACAGGAAAAGAATTACATGCCGCTGGGGGGGAGGGGGGTGGTCATCAGTGCATTGCAATTATTTTTTTTCTTCTAATTCAATAGTGATTCGGAAAACTCTGAATCGATTAGATGCCCTGGCCAGTTGGTTCGTGCCATGATTAGCAAGCATTAAGTTAGCACCATAAGACACAAGTCTGCACACGTACTAGTCACACCCTCAGCCAAAATGTCGGACATCTTGCAGCATGAGGAAAGAATTCTCATGGTCATGTGATCCACAATTAAAACCTATGGATGGACATAGAATAGGTCAGTATCACAAAACAGGCGTGAAAATAATGCATCCCTGAATTCTTATTACCTTCCATTCGCCTTCTTTCTTTACGCTCTTGATGACCCCAGTGAGGATTTCTGCAGAAGAAAAAGATATCTGTTAAAAACATATACATTATATAAATTTAACCCAACATCAAAGAACTGACAAAAAAAATCCATAAAGTACCAAAAATTTTAGCATCAACCTAAACAAGTAAATAAAGTTAAATATTGAAAATATGTCTGTGATAACACTTTCCCCCCTAGTGAGTTTCTCTGTTGTAACTCAATTTTGGAAAGTGCTTATTGATGCATGGAAGGGTGAATTAGAGGATTTGTCCTGATACTTATCATGGCAAGTATCATGATATTGTGTATCACTAAGAATTTCCTTTTAGTGATAAATAATACAACTTATTATTAGTATCAATACAAATAATATTTGTATATAATATTACAAGTTATTATTTGTATTAATAACTTGTATTAAATAATAATTTAACTTAATTAGCATTAAGTTAAATTGCTAATGTAAATAATATGGTCAGTGAGAACATTTGTTACTAAATAAAACAGTTATCTTCAATGACCATTACTGAAAAAATAAGTCTTTATTATCATAATAATAATACAATTCGCCATGCAGGAAACTGTGAAACATTGCACACAGCTATCAGCAAGTGTTTTTTTAATTTTTTGTTTTTTTTATCTACAAATCAAAGAGAGAGAGGCTCGTCTCAGAGCGCAGTTTTAATCTCTACCACTGAATTAAGTTTTTGTTTTTATCTTAGGAAGGGGTGGAAACTGTGTGTTCGTCAACATTTTTGATCACTAATCTACTTAAAATTACAAATTAAAGAAGCAAAATTTCTAAGTTAAATTTCAGCTACTTTAAAAATATATATATATATATATAACTTCAAAACAAATATTGGTTTTAAATTACTTATACAATTAGCAGAATTTAGTGCATAGACATTTCTGCTTATAGAATATAATCATCCAGTGCATCGTAAATTGGGATTATTGAAGCACAACATAAAAACATTTCCACCTGCCAACATTAGTGAAATGAGTGTCTTTGCTGTTAACTTAAGATTGGCATAAAACTGATTAAAAATGTGTGATCTTGTTAGCATGTACTAGGTTGACGCCTAAAATGTCTCTTATGTTTAAATTCATTTCAAAGTTGGCGAACTTCCTTTTACATAAGCTAGCAGGTGTTAGCTTACAACTTCTGCTGTCGCAGTTTTTATTTTTCAAGAATATCAAGAGAAACAGACGTAGATTTCTAACAAAAAAGCTGTTAACCACCTGACGCACGATAGTGCCTTTTACCCATGTCTTAATATTATTTCATTCGATAGCAGAAGGGTTTTAATTGGAGTAAAACAGGAAGAGGCGTCTGGTATACTGACAGTATAAACACAGTTCTATTATGGAAGTCTTGAATATGCTACGAGACAACAACAAACGACCTAAACTACCTATACCAACTTTTAAAAAAAGCTAAAACTTCATAAGTTATGACCGATATTTTACTTACTGTCTCCAACTACCGCTTTCAGTCCACTCGGTGCCATCTTGACGGGAGTGTACTTTAAAGTCAGTCACTTCCTCATGTTCAATGGCCTTACTTATAGAAAGCTCAACATTGCCACCTAAAGTCGGTTACTATTATTACAATATGACTGTGCAACAAAATCAGACTGTTTCATGGGCAAGTAACAAATATCAGTTTCTAATAAATAAAAGAAAACATATAAAAATAAAAAAATAAAAACAAAAAGAAAGCTAGAAAATATTTTTAATGTTGATCCACCTTTTATATTATCAAACCATCATGCAAGTAAATCTCATGTTCAAAATGAATGACAGCAAAAAAAAAGTAAAAGTAAAAAATAGAACACATGCGCAAAATAAGTTTACAAACTGAGAGATATATTTCTGGATACTTCTCTCTGCCAAATGTGTCAAAGGCAATCATCCAATATGCTTTGGGAAACACATGTCAACATCTTTTCACCATAAGATCTTCAGCTGTTTATAACTGTAGGAGCACATCCAAAATGTAAGAGTGTCCGGAAAAGGAATCACAATTCTCTCCGGAGTATTCATCCTGGAGAGCTTATTGAGCTACTGTAAGTTGGCTCATGGTGTCATTTCTAAGCATGCCAAAACTCAAAAGCTCCTTAAAGTACCTCTTAAAACAAGTTGTAACCAGGAAGAGTGCAACACATCAACCATCAAGTAATAATATTGCTGGGTGACAAGTTTAGTTGTGATGTATATGAGTTTTAAAACAGTTTCCTGTCTGCTGAGCAAAACAAACAAAAATAAAAAGTGAGTTCTCAAACAATCATTCTAGTGACAATAATAGCTCAAACAATCCCAGACTGTTTTAAATACTGATTTATGCTAACTTTGCTGATCTCATCATTTGGCAATATATGAGTACATAGTGGTTTACACCTATTGACTTGATTAATTAGATTTTTTTCAATCCTTCTTAAGTTATATCTTTTTAAACCAAATTCACAAGACAATAAAAGGAACTGAATATGTACATTTGGATTATAAAGGAGTACAAGCATCTCTGGAAAGGTTCCTAAATCTTTAGATAATAACATTGTAGCCATAAATTAAAAAAAAAACAAAAACATACGCTGCAGTCTTTTAGTGAACTGCAACTTGAAAAAGTTATGCAGAAAACTACAGCACTTCTAGAATGTTAACTGATTTAATAATAAATCCTCCTACAAGGTATGTTTGTTTTTCCTTCTTTTTAAAATTATTCTTGATCAAACCAGGCAAAAATAAAACAACAAAGTTGGTAAAATACATTCAGAGTATATGTTTAATCTGCATCACACATAAAAATATGCAGTTCCAGAAAACTATGTGTAACATAGTATCACAAATACCCAAAGAAGAAAAAGCAATTGCAACATAAATAAATCTTGTATAAAAAACATGTCATTATTAAATTTAACATCAGGCAAATCCTTGAAAACTGCCAGGCACACCTTCAGATCGCATTAGTCTTGCAGGTCTTCCTGTTGTCTCATGCCAGATTAAAGCAATCTCTTTTCCTCAAGCAAATATTGCCAGAAATTTGTTTTTACTTCAGTTTTCAGACATTTTTTTTAATAGCTGTTGCTCCCTTCGAACACGCATCCGCTCTTTAAAGTTTTCCAACTCTTTCCGCTGGAAAAAACAAGAAATGTTACACAGATGATGATAGAATTATTGTGGTATTCAGAAGTTCATATAGACTAAAATCTGAACAGAATATCGCTCATTATTTGAAAAAAGAAAATCAGCTAAAAGTGAAGATGAACTAAAAAAAACGTGAAAGAACAGGTAATAAGTGCTTAATTGTGTATTGTTTAGAAGTTAAAATCAATTCTTTTTCTTCGATTGTTACTCTAAAAACAAAATCTAGTGTAAAAAAAATCTTGTTTTCTTGACTTTACGAAGTAAAAGAATTTATAAACATCAGTCCTGTGCATCTCACCCGTGATTCTTCGTCCGGTGGAAAGATTTCCCTCTGGGAATTATAAAAGGATTAAAATATGAAAATAAATATAATTATAAAAAATAGAAGCATAAATCAATAGAATAATTTCAGACGGATTGGTATGCAACATTAAAACAACACACAAGGAAAATGGCTGACCTTTCTCTTAACGATATACTCCTCGAAGTACTCCGCCTGGTTTGAGATCCAAAACATGGTCACGGGAAAAGATAAATAGAGCATCATCTGGGCAAGAAAAAATGATCAGAAGAAGGTAAACACAATACAGTAAACATCATCTACCTGCATCGTAAACTGACAAAGAAAAACGTGTCTTCATTTAAAAACGTAAAAGTTCAGACTGACATTTTTTTTTGTTAGTTTCTTTTAACTTTTACTTACTCTGAACATCTCTATTTTAACGCCCATTTTCACGTCAAGTTCTTATCCACAGCCGTATTACCTAAACTCATAACAGAAGACCTTCAGACTGATTTCCGGGTATTTGCTTCCTATTCTTCTTCTACCTCCTTAAATTCAGTCACATCAGTTTTTCTGCAGTATTGCCGCCACCCCTCTGTCTGGAGTCTAAGTGCGCAGCATGCTAGTGGGTAAAATAGTTGGAATGATAACCCTTGTACCAACATTGTGTTTCCACATCCTTTGCAGTTGGTTATCTGCTCTAAAAATGTAAAGGAATTGGAATATCGTTCATTTTTTATTATTCATCGAGAAAAATATCATTAAAATTCCCGAAACTGTAAATAAACCACTGATTTGTGTTTATTGTTATGTTGTTTTACTCTCCTCCATGTTCATGTTGAACCTAACATCTTTATCTTTGACATGTCTTGTCCACTTTTAAAAAAATAAACAATTCACCTCGCAATGGCTTTTAGGACATATAGAGCATAATGTTAACCAAATGAAAAAAGCTGGGGGTGAAAAGTAAAAAAAACTACAACAACAACAAAAACAATCTGAGCATTTGCTAATCTCTATAGAAAATAACATATTTGTCTAGGCAACTCATCGGTGAATATCATAGCAAAGACAGGAAGAAAGTAAACAAAAATATAAGCACCCTGATGTTTTAAGGGTATATATAACCTCCTAAATGGTGTTTATGCCCATTTTTTGTAGAAAAAAAACATTAATAGCAAAGTTTATTTCTAGTGTGCAGCACACAGTCTTTACGTCCTCAAGCAAGGACTTTTACGCGTGACGTCATCCATAACGAGAGGTGTTCAGGATCCTCGGAGAGAAAGATCCCGCGCGCCCTGGCAACCTGAGAAACACAGGTAAATGCCGCTGTTTACAACACTGTTTTGCCAGTCATTGTGCTTCAGGAATCCGAGCAAATAGAGGGCAAGAGATGCGGTAACAGTGATGTCAATGCCTCGCCGGTAGTAAAGATGCCCGGCGCCCACAGATACCGTTCTCTTGCTCGGCGGCCTGTTCTGAGTAGCTAGCTTGCTAGCTAAAGCTAGTTTTGCAGTTGTGTATCAAAAGACACAATAACCGCACCTAAAACGTTCATCTGCCTGACACCTATTGCCTGTTTCACCCACGGATAGTGACAATTACTCTTCAATTCGCCCAACGAATGTCTGTTCGAGTACTGTCTAGAGCAGCCTAACGCTTGTTTTCCCATCGACTGTCTTGTGTTATGGGAGACGGTGACGCCGTCACGGTGATGGTGGCGCACACTCAGACGAACCCGTTGGCTAAGAATACATCTAATTGTTCAGTTAGCTAAAACGCTATTTATTTGTCTCAAATGTTGAACGCCAAGGTATTAAACGCGGATGCTATCGTTGTTTTTCTCTTTTACTATGAATGGCATTGGTGTCTATTATGAAATCCGAGCAGTAGTCTATGCCCTATGGCCTAACATTTGGGACCTGGCTCTTCGACGGTGGTCGCTTGGTAGCAGTTATTATCTTATAATTTATCGCTTTGACTCAGTCTAATGATCTCCAGCATCTCAAACACCTGTGATTTTGGTCATAGTATTAAAATTACTGAGACAAACACAAAGGAATAGGAATTAGGTTTTTCTTATTGGCTTTAAGACTAGTCTTGTTGTGGCCAGTTATAGCTTTCGTTTTCCTCCCGCAGGAGATCTACATGATTTTCTAACCTGAAACGAGTGTTTCTGTTTTTGTTAAGATAATGGATGGTACAGTTGACATACCAAAATGTGTAAGTATACGATTTTATAATAGCCAGTAGCTCACCTACAATCACATACCAGTACAAAGCTCATTTCTTGCCTGAAGGTACAAGCTACAGAAATTGTTGAAGGCTCTACCATTATGCTTACTGTAAACTTTACTCTTTTGAATTATGTGGTACTGAGGCTCGTATTGCCATTTGAATGTTGTAAAGCCATAGTTGAGTCATGAAGTTATCAATCAGGTATGGAAGGTGTTACTCTGTGCATGAATTAAGACAGGGAGTAGTTCCTAAGCAATAAGTGCTTTGGACAGCTTAGACCATGTTTTGCACTGAATCATTTCCTTCCAAGTTATTAGTTACATTAACTGCATCAGATTTTTATTGATAAAATCAAGCCTTCACATTTTGGAACTGTAAATGCAAGCTTGATCAATTACATAAAGAAAGCAAGTTGGTAGAATGTCAAGTAGCTTTTGCTTTCCTTTTAATCGATTGTTTTTTGTTTTTATTTCATGCCCTGTATTTGTAGCCTCTTATTTCATTTATTTGTTACAGTGACATAATCTTTTTCTGTGTTATTTTTATTATCCCTCAAAATTAATGACTGAATGATATTAGTTTATTACATAAAATGTTATTTAGGTTCTCTATTGAACTGTATTGTTTACACACAGTATAAGGTCCCTTTGCCCTTTATTTTTTCTCTTGAACTCTGCCACTGATAGTATTTGCAAGCCTCATGCTGACCATTAATGTCGATAGAATAGACCCTGTTTATCACAGAGGTTTGAATCTAAATGTCAATTAATTTTGAGATTGTATTGTCAGCAACATCAATGTCTGCAATATCATAATTGCAAAAGACTATTTTTATTGTGGTTGCTGAAAACATGTTATATTTTCAAGTGCCATCCTTATAAATTCTGCCTGCCAATAATGTATCTGGGCTGGTAGAGAAACTGTCAATGAACTCACTGCACACACTCAATGTATATTTTTAGTTGCCATGATGTTAAAGCACACCAGAAGTGGTAAGACGTGATGAAGAAAAATGGTGACGAAAATATGAAAACATTGTCATCACAGAATTTATCACAATATCAGTTTCTCTTAATGTATATTCAGATTTTGTTTAAAATCTGAAGGTTTCATTGTCCACTACATTTCTTGCAGTAACTGTGTATCTCTCTGGCTATATATTATTCAAATTCAGTGCCTATCCCTTGTGACTTTTGACCTTGTTATTGGCCAATCAAAAGATGAACAGACAACTTACTTTGTACTAAAGCTGAGAAAATGTTTCATCCCTTAAATATGTCCCAGTTTAATTTGATGTTATGACATTTTTTGTATATTGTTCAGCTAGCTCTATTATTTTGACAATGGAGCCACTGCATTGTGTGAAAGAGTTGCAGCAGTTGTGACAAAATCAGCTGCATATTTTCTTGAATATTTTGGTTTCGATTTCTCCATATCTTCTGAAATCTTTACTGTACTTTCTGCTGTCAAGTTCACTGATTGAAAAGATGTGAAAAAGCCTTAAAGTAGGTTCAATAAGGCCATCTTTTATTCGGTATAACTTCACTATAAAAAATTAAGGAAAAACCATTCTTTTGCTCAATGAGTTTATCAATGAGTGGAAAATATCACACATTAAGATTTATTTTTCACTGAAGATTATTGGCACCCCTTATGTTAATGCTGTGTGGAACCACTGTTTGCCAACAAATACCTCTATTGTGTTTTACAGCGTTGCAACATGCACATAGAAGGTGTCTTTGACCATTTTTTTTTCTCCAGTAACTCCTGATTGCTCAGATTTCTGTGTACTCTTGTAAACATTCTTCTCTTGTTCAACCCTTTGACTTCGAATATTTTTTTAACCTCCTCTTCCATTATCATTACTTTTGTGTCAGGACAAGTGAGCTTAGGTCCAGATTTAGCTTCGATGTCACAGATTCCGTTATTTTAAAATGTGAAATTATTTCTGTGAATGTAGGAAGTCGTGGATTGCTAAAGGTTCCCAAATACATTGGTTTATCTAAAAAGTCAAGCATGAATTGCTAAAATGATTTGATTGCATGTTGTACGGAGTGTTGTGAGTGCATTTTAAAGATATGATATAATTAAAAACAACTATATATATCAACGTGGAAGTTTTTGCTTTCCAGATAAATTTGCATCCGTTTAAAGCTGGATTTTCAGAATAGCATGATGTTCAGGGACATAAAAAAGGCTGAGTGAAATATCTACTATATCTTACCATACCATGAAGTTCAATAATTGTAGAAATGCCTCCAGTCAGTAGAGAATTATCTTCTCCTCAGTTGTTGTATAGATTGGATGCTGACTGATACCGCACTACTTTTTTTAAAGCTTCGTTCTTACGTTGTAGCTTTTTGTTAATTAATTATTTGATTCAATCACCATGAAGATGGCTATGATTGAAGTAACATCAATCCCCATTGAGTTTGACAAAAACTGATTAAATACACCAGAAAAATAAAATAAAAATAGAAAATACAGTAAAAATCCTTTGCAAAATCTATGGGCAAAGAGAGGTTTTAGTCTTCTGTGCATTTTAACTAAACAAACTGCTGACCTTATCCACAAGTTAATGAGTTCAGCATCTCTCACTAGTACATCTGCCAGTTCTATATTACATCTTTATGAAGCCCAGGGTTTACCCCAGAAAACCTGCTAAGTCTGGTGGTAGAGGTGGTAGGGCAGTCTACCACCGTGTTTTTTTTTTTTTCGTCTAAAAGTGTTAAAAGTTGACAGAAATTAAAAAAATATGCACAACACTATTGGTAATACTTAAACAATTATCTCTCTGTGTTTGGGTGGTAGTGTTTCTTATTTGCATAAATTTGTTCACTTCCCTATCATTTTAGAGTTTAAAAATGATAGTACTGTGATAAACCTTTTGGGGCCTCTCGATAACATGCAGTAATTACCAAAGTAGATGTAAAGTGTCTGTTTTTAGTGGTTACAGTGGTTAAAATGTCCAAGGATTAGTATTTCTGTAATTTTCATTAAGGACTATATTCACTTACTATGCCATAGAGAATATATTTTTTACTGTCCCTTAACATAAACCTCTTATCCACATAATGCTTATCCACATAAGTCAAATATTTAGAAAGTAGAGCACAGCTGGGATATTTTAATTTAATAAAGAGTGGTAAATATGTTTTTACCCTTAATCCCATGGCTGTCTCATTACAGTTTTTCATTGCAACATCAAACACTCAAGCCACAAAGCTAATTGTTACATAAGTCGATCGTACTGGAAGGTGTCACTACAGGGCTTGGAGTCTAAGAGGAGTAACAGAGGCGGGTTGACTTGGCCCC